CCGCCGCGCGTGGCGGCGCGTCCGGCGACTTTTCCGGCGGCGATCACCGGCGCCGGACTCGCCCAGACCCCCTCTACGCCGATCTGTTATTTGTTTTGTGATCGGCCATCGTTTGTCACGGATCTCTTCCCCAAACCTTTTCCACTCAGCAGGTTTGAATTCCTAAGGAAGAAGCTGGGAGTTTGCAGCCTCCAAGGCAAGGAGGAGTGTTGAGAATTGCCTTTGGAAGTTGCATATTTTTAGGAATATTTCAGATTTATTTTAGTTTGAATAAGTCAATTTAATTAGAATTTATCATTAGTCGTTAGTGGTCGTTAGTGGACTATCTATTTCCTATTTTTCAGCTAAGTTATTAGTAGTGGTTGCTAGAGTCACGGACTGTGATCTCTAAGTCAGTTATTTTCAATGTATTTAAATTAAATTGCATTGAGATAAATAAATATAATTTTCACATCCAGCACATTCAATCTACTTTTTCACTCTCTCTATTCGTTCTCTGTAATGCTCTATTAGCATTTGCCTTTCCTCCCTAAAACCAACAAGATTCGAGCGCAAAACACACCTTTACTTCTCAATGGGGATGATAAACCGCTGTGAAGGGTTCGCATCGCATTAGGAGCTTCCTTTGCTCAATGCTTCAAAATGGCCTCAAAACCAAATTGAGAAGATTTCAATGTGGGATAGCAGAGGAGGACCTTTGCCCTCTTTGTTGCAATTCAGCTGAAACCAATAGCCACACTCTTCGGGGTTGTGCCCTTGTTTGACCAATATGGGAAACAATAGCTATGGAGAACGAGATTGATAGAATTGCGTTTTTTGATTTGGAGGTGAAGGATTGGGTGTTGACTGTTGAGGAATATTATCAATAATCTAACAAACTGGAATACTTTGTTTGATAAAACTCTGTGGGCTATTTGAAACATGAGGAATGAGGTAATTTTTTCAGTAACTAGTTGGAGAATGGATGCAATTATTTGTAAATCAGTTTTCACTGCTACGGAAGTAGAAAATGCTCTTGGCATGAAGTGGCACATGTTTGATAGGGTCCCTTCCTCCGTTAGGTTGGGTTAAGTACAATGTGGATGCTTCAGTTCACATAGGGGGAATGCAAGTGGCTTGTGGAGGTGTTCTTATAAAGAATTTGAAATTCAAGTATTTTTGAAATTCTTTAAAATAGTAGAATTTCAAATTCTCCCAAAAATTGGAGAATTTAAAATTTTTCATATATTTTTTTCTTATTTCACCTATATATTTTATCTTATCTCTTCATTCTTTTAATTATTAGATATTCAAAAATATTTTTAAAATTATTAAATATTATCTAATATTAATTTTTCAAATTATTAAATATTTAAAAATGGATTAATATTTATTTATATAAAATTTAATTTAAAAATCTTAACATATAAATATATTTTTAAAATTAATTTTACTATGATAGAATCAAATTATCATATTTAACTTAACAATTTAAATTTTAAGAAATTTGAATTGACTCATCCAAACAAAATATTTTAAGAATAATAGAAATTGAAATCAAAATAATTCAAATACCAAGAATTTAAAATTCCTTGAATTTGTAAAATTTCTCATCTAAATATACCATAACAGAGTCATTTTTAATATTTAATCATTTTATCCTCGTAGGTTTCTAATAAATATAGCAAGTAGGTAAATCAGGCTAAAATAGAGTTAAAATTTGTCTTAAACTCCCTTAATCTTTACTTAATTAGTACTAATTATTAATATAACAATGATTAATCAATTTAATCCTAAAAATATCTGGAGTGAGGTTGCTTATAAGTAATTTTTTATACCACATCATGTCACATTAACTTTTTTTTATTTTATGGATTGTTTAAACTTTAACAAAATTACTTATAAAAGTTCTGTACTAAAATTTAAACGATTCATAAAGTAAAAAAGAACTTATATAACATGTAAAAATGGTTGTGAGACGTATGGGCCCACGTATGTTGGTTGAATGGGGAACTTCACACATGGGAATGTGCATCATAACTCATAAATAGGAACTTGTGAGTTGGCACAGTCCCTGCCATCCCCGTACACTTTCTATTCCTCTCTCATTCTCCTTTTAGTTCAAGCTTGCCATCACGCCCAATTTCCAACTATTTTAAATTGAAGGAAAGCATCGATTTTATAACAAATTAATTTTTCATTCATGTGTTTGGCCCCTCCAAAAACATGTGGTGGAATGTATGCTACATACTAGGCAGTAGGCACTATGCTGAAACCGAAAATAATTAAAATTTAAAACCAACACTTGTTGGTGAAGGTTGTGATATTCATCCAAATTGAAATGTGTGAAAAGCATGAGATTGCAAAAGGCAAGAATTATTTTTGCGACAAGATGAACAAGTTTGAAACATAGTTGGGGTAGGTGTTAATATCGAGCAATCCGAAATCCGAAGGGACCCATTCAGCTGGCGCCACGCTGTCAAAGACAAATGAACAGTATGAGACTATGAGCATATTCCTAGGTTCTTATTCTTACGCCGTCCTCTCTCCAACTCCTAGTCAACACCCAAAACTAAACCAAACCAAACATAATAATGGAATTGATAAAGCATCATCGAGATTCGGACATGTACCTTTTGTTTTGTTCCAGTTCCAATCCAACTCAGCTCCAATATTTGATGTGTTGAAACACACACGCACACATACTGCGCCTAAATGGCCGATTCACGGCCGCTTCTGCTCAACGATTCCGAGCCAACTCAGTTCCAAACCACCCGAGTCGCTTCTCTCGACGTCTTCCGAGGCCTCTCTGTCTTTGTAACTCACTCTTTCCACTTGTCTCAATTCAAATTTCATTCATCCCTTTCTGTTACTACTTTGCTTAAACATGAAGCTACCCCTTTCTTGAATTTCAGCTCATGATATTTGTGGATTATGGGGGGTCCATCCTCCCCTTTATTGCTCACGTCCCCTGGAATGGGATCCACTTGGCTGATTTCGTCATGCCGTTTTTTCTCTTTATTGCTGGAATTTCTCTCGCACTTGTTTATAAGGTACCAATTCTTGCTAATGCCACTCTTTCAAATTACGTATTTGGCACTCCTTCCATGTATAGTATACCAAATAGCATTAATTAAAGCCTTCTTTTTTCTTTTCCTAATAAAACGTCAGAGAAGGCCGCAGAAAACACAAGCTACATGGAAAGCTTTAGCTAGAGCAATGAAACTCTTTGCTCTTGGTATTGTTCTCCAAGGTAATATCTTTATACTTAAAGTCTTTTACATCATTTTCCACAGTGTCATGATACCGTGTTCTTCAATTAACTTGGTTTTGCTCTGTCGCTGATAGACTCAACGAGACATTATTAAGCTGAACTAAAATGTGTGTTATGTATGAATAATACTATGTGGCATTTGGAGTATAGGTTGATGGATTTAAACCATGTTCGCCTTATTTTGCTGTACTATCCAATAGTTGTTTCTGTCGTTCTAGTTTCATCAGTTAAATAAACATGATGCCACTCATTTCAGGTGGCTATTTTCACGGGATAACTTCCTTGACTTTCGGTGTTGACATTGAAACAATTCGATTGATGGGCATTTTACAGGTAACTTCATCCATAACATAATCTGTTACAGTCTGTTGACTACTTGACTACTTTTCAGGCTAAGTTTACTGTACAAAGAAATGTAAGGATGTATGATTGTACACCATAACTGATGGTTGATAACTTGATATGAATATTTTGTTTGTGCATACTACTTGTAGTGGCTAACGAATTTGATATGACGATATATAAATCCAGAGGATATCAATTGGATACATTGTTGCAGCTTTATGTGAGATCTGGCTTCCAGCTCCGCGATTGAAAGAATTAGGTTTCTTCAAAAGTTATTACTGGCATTGGTAAGGTTTTCATGTCAGTCTTGTTTTCTGTATTATTAAATTTGAGGGTCATCAAAAGTCCTCATTTGACTGTCATATTAAGCAAGATTGTCACTAATCCAAAAGCATTCTTGATAAGTATAATTTCAGACACCTGTTTGCTGCCACAGGACGTTTAAAAGTAAAACTTAACATCTAGTCCTGTGCTTTCGAAATTCCAAAGTAGAAAATTAAATACACTTAAATAGCAGGATTATTCCATTTCACATTGAATGAAGTCGGAAAAATATATTAATTGAGTATTGCACTCACCACTTGGTATATTGACTATATTCATGCAATCTTCCTTTGCTCTTAATTTTACAAATATTTTTATGCAGGTTTCTTGCAGTAATATTGTTGGCAGTTTACTCGGTATTATTGTATGGTTTATATGTTCCAGATTGGCACTTTGATGTGTCATCCTCAACCTCTTCATTGTCTCCTTTTAGTGGTGGTGATTTTTACACGGTGAGAGTAGGCATTTGATTTTTATTTGCTTCAATTTTTGTTTTGCATTTGATTTTCATTCCTTTTATTATTGAAAGTTTTATGGTTAAAAAAAAATTGTTACTATTTGCTACTCCTAGGCTTAGAGTGAAAATGTACCTGCTGTATTGTTCAAGCTACAGCTGATGTTCTTGATCAAATGTTTCTAATAGTAATATCCAAACTTTCCTAGTGTTGCCTTCAAATTTTACTCAGTAAATAGTTGTCCAATGCTTGTTAATTGTCAAAAAACTTAACCTGCTTCTTCATTTCTCTGAAAATATACTGGTGGTGAAATTCAAAATATTTTGTTCGTAATTCTTGCAATGTTCTCCACCCAATATCAGGTGAATTGTTCCGTGAGAGGGGATCTTGGACCTGCTTGTAATTCTGCTGGAATGATTGATCGCTATATTCTTGGTCTTGGCCATCTGTATAGAAAGCCTGTTTACAGAAATCTTAAGGTATTTTATAGTTGATACTTATCCCATTTCTTTGTTTAATGGTTTAGAGCATAATGTGATGTGTTAATGCCTTGTTGGTGTTCGACTTCCAGGAGTGCAATATGTCTAGTAAGGGTCAAGTTTCAGATAGCTCACCTTCCTGGTGTCATGCTCCTTTTGATCCAGAAGGCATTTTAAGGTAATCAGTATAAACTTCTGATTCCGTCAGTTAAAGCCCTTCATGTAGAGTTGCCCTTTTAATCTTTTGAATTTACGACACAGTTATGTGTAAGCAATTGGAAGCTTCTTTTGCAGATTAAATTGATATTCTTTCTGATCAGTGATCTCATGGAATAACAGCCATACACTTCCTATAAGTAAAATAGAGCTAATAACATGCTGTTTAAATGAATTCAGACTCGTCTGACACTTGATCTGGAAGCTTTTAGAAGATTAAGATTTACCTTCTAGAAATCCCCTTTTAAGCAAAGTATTCCATTAAGATTACTGAGACAATACAACAAGGTCCAAGAGATATTATTCTAATCAAACCTAGTTGATTTTTCTTTTCAAATTCCTAATAGAAAACCGACTTCCTAGTTTGATTTATGCTGAAAATAACTTTACCATACTCTGTGATGTAGGAGTCTTTTGTTAGGACAGGTTCAATCATCATACGTAAGTAATTTAATCCAATAACTTTGCTAGCATCTTTCCATAACAAACATTTTTTCAAGAGTTTTAAAGGTTTCTCAATTTTAGGAAAGAACAAGTTGTGATGTTCTTTCAGTTGATATTCATGATTCATCTATCAGAATCAAAAACTGATATTCATCTATAGACCTTTATTCTTAGGAACAGTCTTACTTGACTGACCCCGAGTTTCTTTGACTAATATTTTACTCATAGTTTGGCAAGAAAATATTCATTTAACAACAAATTCTATGTTGGTCGTAGGTTTTAAATTAATGTTCCTGTTAAGTTGACTGGTACTGATGGAAGACGGTTTGTAATTCTTTCACTTGTTCACAGCTCCATAACAGCTGCAGTTTCATGCATAATTGGACTTCAATATGGTCACGTTCTTGCCCATCTACAGGTGAGATCATTTATTAAGTTTCCAACCCTCAGTTGCCTGTTAAATTCTAGCATTTTCAAAATAGGATAGGAGTTCTTTAAAATCTTAATCCTGTGGTTTTGCTGCTTATTTTGGCACTGAATCATCTGCTATGTATTGTAAATTTTGGCTTAAAATTTCCTTGTTCGATGTTTTATAGAGCTTAGTTGACTGAACTTTTGCTTTCTGTATGTTTGTCTTGTTCTGTAGGACCACAAAGGGCGCATAGACAACTGGATGTGTTTTTCCTTTTCATTTTTGGGCCTTGGATCGTTCCTTGCCTTAATAGGTCCGTGCTGTGAACCATCTGTGGGCATCTTCAGTTTGTGGAGCGCCTTCTAGAAGTTATTTGCTGATAATAAATCGAGCATTTTCTCTTCATAATCATGATTGTTTGGTTTTTTATCAAATCAATTTTCTATGTTTATCGATGCCAATTGCCATAGAAAAGATTATATTCATTTTCATTTTTAAAAAATTTTTGCCTTTTGTTTTCAGGAATTCCTCTAAATAAATCGCTGTACACAGTCAGCTATATGCTATTAACTTCTGCAGTTTCTGGTCTTACATTCATTGCTTTATATGTTTTGGTGAGTGTTCAGTGCTGTTGCAAGAGAAAACTATATGGACAGAGTCACAGAGATATTATATACAATTCCTGCTTTATTTATTGGATACTCTGTTTGCATTAAGATCAAACTTATGATTTCTTTCCAGGCCACTATCTTTCATTACATTTTTTTCCATTCTGACTAAATTGTTGTACATTTACCCTACTGCAGGTAGATGTTCATGGTTACAGGCGTCTGACAGCTGGGTTGGAGTGGATGGGAAAGCACGCCTTGAGTATATTTGTGCTTGTATCTTCAAACTTGGCCGTGATAGCAATTCAAGGATTTTATTGGACTCAACCCGAAAACAACATTGTAAGATACTGTTGCATGATGCTTTATGCTGGAATTTGTTCCCGGTACCCCAATAAAAAAATTGACTATAATGTTTGGGTTTACTTTTATTCCGTGCAGATACACTGGATTGTGACACGTTTTAACCACACATGACGTTACTCGTTGCTGTTAGAATTTCATGCCTTGCCTTTCATACTGTATATACATTCAAAGTAAAAACAATACCATTGCAGTGAGGTAGGTTCTTCGAAGATCGAGGCGGAAGTGCTTATTGAATTGTATAGGTACTTTCGAATTGCATGATTTCAACAACACACTCTCATCAGTGAACTTTTTTAATTTTAAAATGGTTATTGGTAGTGCACAAGCACGCCCAGTCTTTTCTGTTGGGCTGGCCCAGGTTGTATTGTCATAAAAGGTTAAAACCTCACTGAATCTGAATCTTTTCAGGTGAACAAAAGAAAAGAATTACATAGTTTCTTGAAGCACGGTTTTCTTCTAACGCGTACATGCTACCATTATTTTATTTCGTAAATGTTGTTTTTATTTTCATTTCATTTTTCACAAATAATTCTTAAAAAATTATATTATATTATATATATATATAAGATATTAGGTACAAGATGTTTATTTATGTAGGATTCTCAGATTTCTTTTTCTATGTTTGTTTGTACGAATAAAATATGTTTTAAGTCCTTCAAGATGTCAAATTTAGTTTTAGTCCATACAAGCTGCCTCGTATTTTTCAAATGAAATAGATGTTGTCCTGGACTCTATGTTTTTTTCTTTTACAAAGGCTATGCCACATGTTTACTTGATTAGGCTCTATACTTTTGTCTCTTTTTCATAATGTTTAATATTTTAGTCTTCTCGATTATAAAATTAAGCGGTTTTAATTCTTCATCCATTGAATGTTAGTTGACTATATTTTAGTCTATTTTTTAATTGAACGAATGTAAGAAAAAGAAATATTTATTTTAGTGAAATGTTTTTCTTCTCTCATTTCAACTCAATTAAACAATAGGAGAAAAAATTGCTTTTTTATTAAACATCTAAAAGTTATCTATTTTTTTATTCTCTTTATTTCTTACTATTTTTCTTCCTCAACTAAGGAATGGTAAGACCAGTAGAAGTGGAACTATAGTATGAGGAAGGATGCAATTAATTATAGATTTTACCATTTTGTATCATGGCAAACGGAAGAATACAGTCTCCAGAGGAAACTTAAATGTTGATATTTAACAGCCTGCGCTGTCTGTCTCAAATTCTCAATACAGAACAAGAACACGGGACCAAGGAAGATATGGGCAGAATGTCATATTCATGTGAACCACATAGTCTTATCAATTAATTATCAAAATGTGACACACATCATTGTTAACAAAATCAATATTTCAGTTACTTATTATGTTCTGACATATTTCTGTATAAAAATTTGAATACCAGCCCCCTTCTAATACAGCCATTTTCCAGAGTAACTTCAAGATATAATATTAAATATCTGGTTAACAGATTAACCCTTTTTTTAATACTGTTTCATACACGGAAACTTCGTATTGCTCTATGTCACGGCCATAAACAGCAAATAACGTGTATAATATTTTATTCTTTTAAAAATATAAAAATTACAATAAGAACAATGTAGATATTATTTCAACTCTCGATTCTAATTATTTAGTTGGCTTTACTGATTTTGTGAGAATTTCTATTCATTTTTATATTTTTTTTGTAACTAGAGCTAAGATTTTATTTTCTCATATGATTGAATTCTCCATTTAATTATTCTAACATGTTTGGTGGGAGAAGAAAGAAATACATAAAAATTATTGTATATCCATAATTTGATAAAGGAAAATTTGTAAAAAAAATAAATAAATGTTGTATGTCCTCTCCATTTAATTAGTACCATTGTCAGATATAACATGGCTTGGATATAGGCTTACCATGACATTGACATCCATTGACCAAGTCCCTCATGGATTACAACCCAACTAACTATCCTCACGATACCATGCACCCCTCTAGTAATCAATTAAGGCTTGTAGTCTTCATCGTCATACCTTACTTCAACATCAACTAAGGATTTAGAGGAGACTTAACAAACCACTCCAAGAGATAATGCCTACTCAAGGAGGATTTTCAACAATTAGGCTCGTAAAGCACCACACCAATATCCACACAGTGGGATATCCAACTTTAAAAAACAACCTCTCTTCTAATGCTAAGTCAATCAACATGCCTAAATTCCTATAACATTCTTAGTATCATAGCTCAATAGTGTATTAACACAATATGTCTAAATGTTTATAGCACTCTCAACATCAAAACCTTAACAGGTCAACAAATCAACAAATCATGCCTAAATGCCTAAAACATTCTCAATATCATACCTCAACAATTATCATCCATATGCATTATCTCATGTTAATGGATATAGATCTAACAACATAAATCAATGTACAACACAATTGCACTTCAACAGTTCAACCATATAACCATCTACACATATTATCCCAGATTAATTTACATAGACCCCAACCACACCTAGCAACATACAACATGCAGTAGATTCACCCAACCTATTCATGTTCACCATATAATCATTCAAACAAGAGTTTTCAAAACAAACTACACTTGATTGCACATATCTTGCACTCGACATCATTGAGGCAGAGAACTTTTTGCCTCATCCACATTCGACGTCATTCAACTTGCGTTCGGTGTGGATGAGGTAGTGACCCTTAGGCCCTCATGCCTAGCATGGTGAAATCCAATGTTTTTCCTTGATCCAAGCAAAGATTATTTTCTCTCCTTATGCATGACCCCACTCCTTTGGGGCTCAGTTCCAACCCAAGCAAAGTTAATTCTCTCAAATCATGTCCGAAGTTGTTCAAACCACGTTTGATGCCATTTCAACCTAAGGCAATCCTCTCTCCTACGCTTGGTGCCACCAATTCTATGTCGGGCGTGAGCAAGACAAAGTATCAATGGCTGAAACCACGTTCAATGCCATGAAGGCGTGCTTAATGCGATGGTGAATTCTTTGCCTAGTAGACTCGCGAATTGTTCTCCTTTCACTTGAAAACCAGACAATCCACTCATGCAATACAATAACATGCATGTAGACATCATATTCAACTCAATTTTCATCATAATATCAACATGAAATCACAAACCATCCACTTTCACCAAAATCATTCAACATGTTCAAAACCCCTTAACTTGCAATTCTTTCATTCAAACAACCATGAATACCAATTAGTTCCAATCAACACATACACCATAGATCAACATAAACAACTCAAAATCAAGAGGAATCAAACCTATCTTCCCTTGCCTCCCCAATCCAAGAGGAAGAAGGAATATGAAGGATTTTGAGTTATCATCAAGAAATGCTTCGCATCGACTTTGACTCTTAGCTACAACCTTTGAATCACCCAACAATGATCCTCTACAACTCTCTAGAAACTAAGAAAAAAGAAGAGAAACTTTTAAAACTCCAAAGCTTCTCACACTACTCTATCTCTCTATAAAGTTTTTTTGAAAAAATGAGTTTTGAGACTCAATTCCAAAAAAAAAAAAAAAACTCTTATATACTCTTCATTTCAAAGTCAAGTTGAACCTTTGCCTAGAAAAATCCTCTAAGACACCCAAAGATTTCTCAAGAGTTCCTTAACTCCTAAAGTCTCTAAACACTACACCTCAAAACATGAAAACATACAATTACTGCTAAAGAGACAATAATTTACAATAATTTATAATATTACACTTGAAATAAGTAGAACTCTCTTCATAAGTTATATATATATATATATAGATGAGATGAAAAATAAGATGTGGATAGAAGTGTTAAAGTTGACTCAATAAATTGTGAGTCGATGGATTAAATAGATTGATTAACTTTTTAATAAAGAAAGACAAAAATAAAGAAAAAATCAATAATGCTTATTTTATTTTATTTTTATAAAAAAAGTTACGATTTTTATATCAAAATATTTATTGGTTCAAATATAAATACAAAATAAAATATTATTTAAGTGATATTTTTATTTTTAATTGTTAAAATATAATAATTGTTTTATTATATTTTAATTAAATCCTTTACCAATTGATTATTCTTTATTTGTTTTTATGTATAAAAAATGAATTTTATTGTGCTTCCTTTACATCATCGTTACATTTTGTTAGAATTGTTGTTTACCCATGTGATTGCAGTTTTTTTTTTTTTTTTGCTGTTATAATCATTTTCAAGTATTTTAAAGAAATTTTCCTTTTATATATTCAAACGTAAAATAATTGTATGAGTAATATTTTATATAATTATTTTTCTCTTTCTTTTCTCTTATACAACATTTTTTCTTTGCCAATCATGTTTAACCTCTCATCACTTTGATCAGTATGAAACAATTTTTCTTATCATCTTTAACACTTTTTGGTGTGCAAGTACAAACAACACATTACTTTGCTTTAGTTCTACACATTCGTAAAAAGTAAAAAGTGTTCAATGTGTCAACTTAAAAGTTCAATATAAACGAGGAACAAAGGTATCGCATCGCATATGATAAATATCAAGCTTTTATTACATTATTTTTCTTCAAAAATTATATAATCTGGTAAGCTTTACTCTTAATATTTTTTTTGTTTTGTAATTTTTTTTTCTTGTATGTGTACTTAAATTATTATAAATAATTACTAACGTATGTTGATTTAATTGGTATTATAGTTGATCTTTAAATTTTAAAATTTTAAAATTTTAAATTTTTGAATCATAAGTTTGATAATAAAAAAAAATATTAAGAATGATAATCTAAATATAATCAAGATTTTGAGAAAATTTGATTCTCAATAAAGTTGGTAAATACTTTTTCCATTATCATAATATTAAAAAAATATATATATTACAAATAAAGCATTTCTCTTGTTTATTTAGTTTTTGCATAAATTGTAATTAATATTAAATAATAAAGAAAATGTTGAAAAGAGTGTGTCATACATTACTAACTCTTCCTATACTAATTATAGAATTGTATATATGTAGAATTTGTCTTTTTTAAAATGCAACTTTGTAGTTTAATTTATATTTTAAAAAATAAAGTACAATAATAAATTTAATTATAATTTATATTTGGTTTTCAAAAAACTATAATTTATTTTTCACATATAAATTATTAATAAAAAATAACAGTATAGAATAAGTTTCACAGTTAGTGGTCAAAAATAAAAGTTACACACTGCAAAATAAATTAATTACTAACAAACTAAAACTTCAATATATTTTTTTTTATCTTACACTAAATTAGATTTTCCTAGTATAACCTTTCTTTAATAAAAATTAAATTATCATTAATATAAACATAATGAGTTTATACTAACAAATAATTTTGTTAGTATTAAATTGAATATTAATATAATTGAATATTAATATATACTATCATTAGTAACATTGTTGCTTTGATTATTGTTTCCTTAAACTTGTGACCCTTATTTTTAATGTTAATATTAATACACTAGTATGTATATACACATCAAATTTTAATCCCAAGCGTGTGATTCAGCGGTAGAGGTTGATCCACGCTTAAGCAAGGTCAGGAGTTCGAATCTTGTCTTGTCTATGTAGCCGCGTTTAATTCCATGGACGAACAAAAAAAAAATACACATTGAATTTTATAATAATTATTTTTTATTTAATATTATTTAATATGTTTAAATTCTAAAGAATGCATTTAATAAAATTATATTTTACATTTAATAGATAATATATTTTTTGGTACATATAAATAATATCTAATATTATTTTATTAAAAATTTTATAAAAATATTACATTAATAACAACTTAGTTTTATATAATAAATATAATTAATATGAACAATTTAATTCTTGGTTAAATATTATTAAATCTTTTAAATTTGATTAGATTATATTAGATGCGATGACTTTCTTCAAATAAAAACTTGATGTTAATGTATCTTAAGTATATAGGCATCAAATCACATTTTAAAATAATTTTTTTTATTCAATAATATTTTTAATATATATAAATTCTGATAAAAGGTCATATATTTAATAAATTTATATTTTTAATTAATAAATATAGTATGTTTAATAAATAAATATTTAATACTATTTATTTAAAAATATTTTTTCATATACTTATAAAAATACTACATTAAAGACACTAGGTTTTACATTACTAATTTTTTTAGTCATTAATATCTTAATAAATATTATTGATGTGAGCAATTTAATTTTCATTGAATATAATTAAATTTGGGTATGTATGCATAGGCTGTTGAGTCCAAGTTGCTATTAATCTTAATCAAGAAGAGTTAGCTCAGTTAGTTAACTAGGTGTGTGAGTTATTTCTTAAAAGTTTACATAAATTGAGACATGCATTATTAACATTTATGGTCTAAAACTCCACTCTTTACGCCTAGTTCAATAAGATTTTTCTCAAATCTTTAATTGTTGGTCAAAAAAAAAAAAATTAAATCAGCGTGAACAACCTAACCCTGATATGCCTAGTTCAATTAGATTTTTGTCAAAATCAATTGAATTGTTGATCAAACAAAAGAATATATTAAATTGTGGGAATAACCTAACCCAAATTCATTATAGATAAATTGTAATAGAAATAAAATTTCACTCACATTCTATAAAGAGATTTTATCCCTTAAAAAAAATTATCTATCCATAATAATTAAGAATGTAATAACCAATATAATTATCATAGTCAAACAAAATTAACATAGGGTGTTAGGGTGTGTGTGTAAAAAAATTCCTGTGTTAATTTAAATCAAATCTTTAAGTAAAATGAATTGCAATTTAAAGTATTTGTTTTTCTTTAAAACTTTATTGCATTCATTATTTCATGCCTGGATATCCAAGAGTGTATGCTACAACATGGCCTAATTTTTGCTGTGACATATTTATTTAACTTGTGCCATGGAATGAAATTAATGACATGACATTTTGACATACATATAAAAGCGCATGAATTTTACTCTTTGGACTTTTATTAACTTTCTTTGGGCTTCAGAGGTTTTAATATTCTTGCAATTTCTTGTATCTGTTATTTAATTTTCGAGGACTCAATTTAATCTAAAAAAGAGTATCTAGGAATAAAAAAAGAGTAAATTTATTATTCATCATTACCAATTTAGTTTTCATTTTCATTTTCTTAAGTAAATAAATTAATACTCATTCAGTGGATTTCTGGTTTTTATTATTTCAGAGTTTATAGCGAAATTCATGAGCTGGTACAAGTACAAGAAGCACGAGAAACACATCGGAGGAGCATAGATGGTGAGAGGAACTCAAATACCAGAGAATCTTTTGACTTTTGTGTCTCAAATATGAAACCACTTATTTTTTTGTGTTATATAAAGGAACAAATTCAACTACATAGAATAAAATAAAGTAAGTCAATTAAAGAGAACGAACAGAAAAATAAAACAAGTCAATGACACTATCATTTACATATTAGAGTTTCACAAAATAGGAGAATGGTATGAGAATAGTATTATATATGAGCAATGAACAATAGTGCAATATTATTAGCAGAGAAAAAATGGAAAAGACAGGAGCATAAAAAAAAAAATGAAAAACTCACTTGAAAATTCTTAAAACACTTGAAAAATCATTTCAAACAATCCTTCAAAATCCGATGGGTTTGGATGGGATTGTTTTATGAATCTGGTATTTATAGATAACACTAGAAAGTCCTTCAAAATTCCTCTCACACAACAATCCTTTAAAATCCTTATATTTTTGAATACCAATGGATAGTTTTTAAGTTGTAAAAAATCTCAAATGAATACCAGTGAATTTTAATGGACTCTTTAAAAAATCTTGAAAATCCAGATTGAATACCACTAGATTGTTTTTAAGTGACATAAAATCCTGATTGAATACCAAGAGACTTTTTTACTAAAAAAAAAGTCTTTTAAAATCTTACGAAATCCTAAACCAATACACCCCCTAATATTGCTATACATTTTGTTGGCACACTCACTGTTACCTTCATTGGTGTGACTTTAATTACCATTACTTTACTAATGTCATTATTTCACACCACCTTTTTAATGGTGGCATCAGTTTTGTTAATTTCTACAACTAATTGTCATTAATTAACAACTTTGCCTTTCACCCATATCATTTTAGTTGTTGTCACAGTTAACATAATTATTGATCTTCACTGTATTCACTAGTCGTCACCCCATTGTTATCAGCTTTATCTATGGATTAAATTTTTGTTTTTCATACGTTTCGTAACATCAATTGTGACTATTTCTAATTAGAGATGTCTAGATGAAATTATAAGTTAATTTAGAGTTATAATTATTCGGTTTAATTTTTTATAAACCCAAACTACGAGACATGAATTTTAAATTTAAAGTGATTCCAATTTCTAAAAATTAAAATTAAGTTACAAATTTATTTTTTTTATGAAACGGATCTGAAAAGAAAAATCCGTATGCAATAATGTTGTCTGGTGATATTATATTTCAACCAAACATCAATTATCAACTTCTTAATTAATATTGTATTTAGCTTTATGGAAACAATCATTTATCCAAGTTTTTTAAACACAAGCGGTAGTTGGTAGTTTAGCATGATAAGCAATAATATTGGGTAACAAGTATATTAGCGTGATTTATTTAATTTCTTAACTTAGAAAGAAGTATAGAATTGATGGAAATGACATCCTTTTCAACGGTAAGCATCTCCGCTGAATCTTTGTGTTTAATATAAAAAATGAAGCCCTTGACAGACAAGGACAAAGCATTGAATAGATAGCAGAGTAGAGGACAAGTTTGAGTATGGTTCTCAGTTCTCAGTTTCTCACACACGAGACTTCACTTGAGAATTCAGATAGCCAAAAGCTGAGCCAGAAAATGGTTCCTTATTCCCCAAACTCATCCATAATAAGACAACAAAAATTGAGCAGCTGAAAATAAAATATATCATTTTTAATAAAGTAGATAATTCAAAAAAGAAAAAGAAAAAAGGCCATTCAATATTAAACATTTGAATATGCGTGAGAAGAGAAGTGCTTGACATGACAATGAGATAGTTTTATTAATGTATATTTTGATTTAAGAATGCATTGCATTGGGTTTGGGTATGATTGGTTTTTGAAATGAATAGTTGTAGATTGTGAGACGTATGCATGTGCCTGATTAGGGACCACAATAGAAAGCAGCAGAAAGGTGAGAGAGCACTGACCAGAAAAGGACCCCATCTCATCATCCCTTTACTCAACGGAAACTTTGAAAACTAGTTGCGTGTATTTGATGATTTTATATATTCAATTTCTTTGCTGTAAGTCCTATGTAAAACCATTTTTTTAATATATTATTATTTTAAATTATTTAAATAATAAAAGAAGAGAATTAATAGTGTAAGCATAAGTTATAGGAAATGAAATAGAGAGATAAGTGATAGGGGTGGGGTGGGGTGGCAGTGGCAGTGGCAGCTTTAGATGATTAGAATTCACATGGTGAAGGTGTCCCACAGAGACAGAGAGCAGTTAGCAATATTCCAAATTTACCCCTGCCCTTGTTCTTATTATCCCATAAAAAGCAAGCAACGGAAATAGATTGATAGAGAGAAAATGTCGAAGGAAGTGAGCCAAGAAGGAGAGCAGAGGAAGGACTACGTGGACCCTCCGCCAGCGCCTCTCATCGACTTGGCGGAGATTAAGCTCTGGTCCTTCTACAGAGCCCTCATCGCCGAGTTCATCGCCACACTCCTCTTCCTCTACGTGACGGTGGCCACCGTCATCGGCCACAAGAAGCAGAGCGGAGCATGCGAGGGCGTTGGGCTGCTGGGGATCGCATGGGCCTTCGGCGGCATGATCTTCGTGCTGGTGTACTGCACCGCCGGCATTTCAGGTGGACACATAAACCCTGCGGTGACTTTTGGACTCTTCCTGGCGCGCAAGGTGTCTCTCCTCAGAGCCCTCCTTTACATGGTAGCGCAGTGCTTGGGCGCTATCTCCGGCGTTGGCTTGGTGAAGGCCTTCATGAAGCACTCCTACAACTCCCTGGGCGGCGGTGCTAACTCCGTCAACTCCGGCTACTCCAAAGGGTCTGCTCTGGGTGCTGAGATTATCGGCACTTTTGTCCTCGTTTACACCGTTTTCTCGGCCACCGACCCCAAGAGAAGCGCTCGTGACTCTCATGTCCCAGTATGTATTGTTGTATTTGTATACATATATTATATATATTTCTCTTTCTTTCTTTCTCTCTCTTACAATAAATAATAAATAATACATAATAAATGTGTCTGTGTCTGTGTCTTATATAGGTTTTGGCCCCATTGCCCATTGGGTTTGCAGTTTTCATGGTTCACTTGGCTACCATTCCCATCACGGGTACCGGGATTAATCCAGCTAGGAGCTTCGGTGCTGCTGTTATCTACAACAATGCCAAAGTTTGGGATGACCATGTATGTATATTAATTAATTAATTAACGTACGTAACTGCATGGTGTTGTTTAATTTTAATTAATTAAGTGATGGTGGTGCAGTGGATCTTTTGGGTTGGGCCATTTGTGGGAGCGTTGGCGGCGGCGGCCTACCACCAGTACATACTGAGAGCGGCGGCTATTAAGGCGTTGGGATCGTTCCGGAGCAACCCCACCAACTAAGTCCACCACAACGACAGAGATAGGATAGGGTTTTCATTTCTGTTTGCATTCTTAATTTATTGCTTCATGTCTGTCTTTCCTATTTATTATTTCTTTCCTTTGTTTGGTTTGATTGTATCACATGTGAGATTATGACCCTTATTTGCTCTATCTCGATTATTCTTTGCAGTTTGCACTCACCCATATCGCCTTTATCATTTCTCTTTTCACTCTCCATTTCCTTTCTCATTTTTAAACCCTAAACATTCTTAAGCGATCTCAATCTTTAAACATTATTCAAACAAAATTGTTAAGCGTAATTTTAAGATTTGATCTGAATCTTTATATTATTTTAACTATATCGTCTTATTATTTCTTACCAGGACTCACGAGAAATAGTACATGTTACTTCATTACTTCATTCAAGCTTAATTCTTTAAAACTGTCAATATAGTTCAGTTCATTAAAACTTAATACTTTTAAACTGTAAATAGATTACTTCATTAAAACTTCTCTCAGGTAGAGCTCTTAACAGAAAGAAATTTTAAGGACAATTGTATACCTCGGAATTTTTAAAGAATTAATGTTTTTATGAAATATCTCTTACATAAATACAAGATTAAATTTTATATTACACGTCTTATTATTCTCTTTTTGTATTTCTTGATGTATATGAAAATATCTACTTGGAGAATAAATTTTAGGACAGTTATTTTCACCCAATAACTCGTATTTTTTATTTAATTTTAATAATTTAATTATTAAATTTAAATATTTTATAATAAATAGATTAAATTTACAAATTTCTACAAAATTTATTTGAGGGGAAAATTTATACAAAACTTGAAAATTATTTAATATATTTGGTTATATTATGATAACTTTAACATAAGTTAAAGTTAGAAGTTAATGCATGTTACATGGATCTGAAGACTAAGGTGGTGGGGCCGTGGGGCAGGGCAGAGAGGGCATTTTATGGGGTGGCATGAGGGTCTTTAGGAAAAGTATGCCGGAAATTGCTACACAGTCACCGCTTTCCAAGGAGTGGGACTCATAACTCATAACTCATAACTCATAACTCATAACTCATAACTCATAACCCATAACCAACCAAAATTTGAAAAAGTAGAATGCTGAATGATAAATCAAAGAGTGGCATTGCCATCTATGCATACCCGTTTCAGAATATCACGTGCCACCAACCCTCTAACAGTCTAACGGGTTCCAATTCTATCCGCTTTCACAAAAGAGGGTCACCCTAGATGCGCCTTTCTCAATTATGCACAACTTTCTATTTATATACATAAATGAAACAATTCTCTTACTTTAAGGAAGGATGTGTTTTACTACATTTATTTTTTAATTTTATTTTAATAATTTTATTTTAAAACTAAAAATTCTTAATTCATAAATCAAATTTTCATATTTTTTTAAAATTAAAAAATATTTAATAAAAAAATATTTTACTTTTCAATTTAAATTAATAAAACAAATTATCATATATTTTCAAACTTTTTAAAAAATTATAAAATTGATTTATCTGTTAAGAATTTTTAATTTAAAAGTTAAATTGTTGAAATTCAATATAAATGATGAAATATTAAATAGAATAAGTCTATTAAAATTTAAGTAAAGAAGTAAGTGAATCTCTCATCTCTCTTATCCCTTTCTAAAAATGGTTAAAATTTGGTCTCAACTTACATTTCTGATTATGTATAGAGATCCCTTAATGTTACAGGTGAAATCTTTCTAATAAGTCTATATAAACCCTCAATTCAGCAAGTAAAATTTTAGGTCAAATTAATTAAACATTATTGAACATGGATTCTTAATATGCCATTGACTTCCAATTCAATAGTCTTGAAAGTGTTTTCTCCTATCTAGCATTTAATGATAATTTTTTTTAATATTTTATTAATTTTCTTTTGTGATTAAAAGATACACACCCTCTTATTAAAAACTTAAAAGACAAAAGTCTTATTTTTAAAATAAAATAATACTTTTTAATTTTGATTACATGTTCAAAATAAAAGATCGAATCTTATTTTTAATTAAAGAATATAATCTTACACTAATAACATCCAACAACATTTTGTTAATTCCTACTTTATTTTTAATGTATCTCAATATATCACATTATTTGCCCATCACACTAGTTTGTAAATGCCTAATCAACTTGTAAATCATATAATATATGAAACTAAAGTTATATAATTATGATATCTTTAATAAATCAAAAGTGTAATAAGTTTTATAGTTAAATTAATTGAGCTATAATGGTGTTAATTAGGAGAAATTTAATTAAATTATAAATAAAAAATTCCTTAAGTACTTTCAAGGAAGGATGTTAATGGGGTGAGTACAGGCAGTAACTTTCTATACCCTACTCGTCGAATAAATATTCACCCCATACTCATTCCTATATCCATGCAGGATATTTGTTGAATGAGTATCCACATATTTTTCAATATTCGCAAATAATAAAGTATAATATTTAACTATTATAAGTCCAAACAAAATCTAAATAAAATCAAATTCATATAAAAAAATTCAAGTAAATTGAATATTAGTAAGTACGGGTATCCACGGTTATGGATACTATGTTACTCGTATCCTTCTTGTTAACATACGGGTATAAAAAAAAAATATTCGTACTCATTATATACAAGTACTCATTTCCAATATTCATTTTTTATCTATTGCGAGTTTTATTCACGAACACCTACAAATACAATTTTTTTAACATCCCTACTTTCAAATATAAATACTTAATTAAAAACTCAATAAAACTCTAGGGCTTATAAATGAATATACCAAAAAAATAATTAAGCTAATTAATTTAAACTAATAATTGAGTTGGTAATTAAGCTAACCAAAATTAAATGATAATTATACTTAATAACACTATTTGTACTACTTCAATGAATCATTTTTCTCACTAAATTTTTTTTATTTATACTATATCTTTTATGTGTATATATAACTGAATTCTTTTTTAATTAAAACATTTTTTGGAGTTTTTTTCTTTAATAATGATAGTATTTTTAAAAGTTTTTCTTCAATTATAATATTTTTATTAATCATTTATCTCTTTTGAACTATTTATTTATTTTTAAATTAAATTTTAAAATTTTTAAGAAAAATATCAATATTTAAAATAATCCTATATCACAATATGAATTGATATCATAAATTAAAAAAATATTTTTATATTAAAATATATTATCATATTTATTTATCATGAATTTTGGCATATAAAAATAAACATTTATTATATATATTATACATACTTAAAATACTAATCTCTTATTAATAACTTGATAAATAAGAGTTTAAAAAATATAGCAATTAACATATCTAAAATATATATTTTTTATAATTACAGAAAAAAAATATTCTTATCTATTTTTCATATAAAGAACATGAAGTAGTAAGCTAGTAATAAAGATCGTAATTATATTAATTAAAAAAATTACTTTGTTGATTTATGTCTGTTCTTTGAGTTTTCCTCGCTTCAAAAGAAAATAATTTATTGTTTAGTTAAAACATTTCGCTGCCAAAATAGAAGTCTTAATATTGATGCATAATCAGTTTTTTTTTATTTAATATTTTTGATATTTTTTTAATGAGATAAAGAAATATTGAAGTTTGATCCGAGCCTATAATTTTATGAATTGAATTATTTACGCAACTTATACAATTTATTATTTCATAAAGAATATTGAGTATTGTCTTCTAAGTTTCACTTTCATACATGATTAAATAAGATGCTTAAAGACCTAATTATTTCAATACATAATTAAGAGTAAATGTAACATGAAAGTAGAACTGAAAATAAATCAAACCAACTCAAAATTATTAGGAAAAAAATAAGATTAACAATTTTATCATACAAGTATTTATCTTATCTCTGTATTTATCTTTAATCTTTTTTATTATATTATATTATATAAATTCAAATATCAATTAAGAGATTTTAACTTAATGGTTAAATTATTAAAATTTAATATAAACTATGAGTTGCTATAATAAAAAATGACACTACATATTTTCATAAATTTTTTAAAAACAAAAGTTATATAATGGTAAGTGGTTAATTGAAAGTATAGATAATTACGTAAGAAATTTACAGAAATAAAATAAAAAACTATAATTTATAAAGTAGTATTTACATGCATAAAATTGGACAAAAAATCATGTATATGAAAGCCCAATCCTTCTTATTGTAGTTATATATATAATATTATTTCTTTATTTTTCTTATGATGGAAAACATAGATATTAAAAAAGAAAATTAATAATTATAAATATAGTTGTTAGTATTATTAAAATAAACCTTTATTTTTCATTCTGTTTTACTGAGTTGTCTTGGTCATATATAGCAAGTTTTTCAATATTTTTTCTAGGTCTAGCAGTTACAAATGGCATTTACTAATTGTGCCAATGTTGTTGTCGTTAGTATTTTGTCCTTCTTTTCTCTTTCTATACTCACCTTATATACAACCATGTAATCTTTTTGGTGATCAATGAGGATAAGGAGAATGATATATTTTAGCACTAAGAATAATATAAATTATTTGTATATATTTTTATTAAAATTATTCATATTTAAGTTATATACACATACAAATATATTTATATAGATGATTGTCATTAAAACAAATTTTTATATAAATTAAAATGATATAAGACAAATGTGAAAATAAAATTATATATATATATATATATATGAATATTTATAATTATTTTTATATATTTTTTAACATATTCATATACATATATATTAATATACACCTTTACAAAGAAACCATCAACCATAGAAAAATCACGAGACTTAAAGAGGCAAACTAAAAACTTCTTAACAATGAAATGTTTTATCACATTTTCTTTTCCGTTTCTTAAACTGAGTATTACTAGCATTTTGTGATTACATATTACAGTCATACGCATCAGCCCACCCTATAAAATTTACAATAATAATCAAGCTAAAAGAAAAAAGAAATGCATAAAAATTTACAGGCATATAACAGAGACACAAAATTCCAATTTCAAACCAACGTCATGAACACCATCGTTGGCATAAAAAGAAACAAATAATTAAAGTTCAAATCCTATGGAGAGGGTGCATTTGTGTATCATATCATATGTCAGTATGTTCATATAATGAGTAAATAATATATGCTCCTCCGCATGCACTTATTCTATAAACTATATATATTCTACTTTTAAGGATTACAATTACAACTACAACATATTAATATGATTTCTCAGCAGACGAAATTGCTGAGTTATAATTATAATAGTTCATCTACCAAGGATTTGATATGCAGATTATCAACCTTGGACTTGATAGATAGCATGTTTTTGTTCAGTTCAGAGGCCTTGAGTTCGAGCTCGCTCAAGCGACCTCTGATCTCAGGAATTCGTGTTTTGATATCAGCAACCTCTTGTTCTTTCCGAGCCAAACTTTCCAACTCTGATTCAAGCTCTTCTCTCAGTGACTGCACTTGGCGACCAGAGTTATCCTTTTCTGTCACCACCTCCTGGTGCTCATCAATGAGTTCAATATTTTCAGCTAGTTCATCAAGGACGCTATGCAACCACGCCACCCGAAGTTTAGCAGATTCTACATCCTTAAGAATAGCCAATAGTTCTTTCAGTTTGGACTTGCTTAATTCCATTATTGTGGTGGATTGTAACTCTTGCACCACGAAACATACACACTCAATGTAATATGAGCGCATCGCAAGTGATTCCAAGTGACAGCTTGCACCTATGTCCCCATACTTGTCAAGGATAGAATGAAAGATGGAAGCAAAACTTTGTTTTATTTCATACCTTCCAACTCGAATACGGGGTTCAGATGTCACAGACTCGGCCTCTCCTTCATCACTCTCATTTTCAACTTGAATTTCACCAGTTGAAATTATAGTAATACCTTCTTCAGTGTCATCAACTGGGGTTATTGGAACAACTTTATGAGAATTAGCAATTTTGTCTTCAACATCCTTTGGTTGGTCTTTGTGATTGACAGGCTGCAAAGAAACACAAATGAAGGACATGGCATGAGTTTGTTTGTGTCACTCTTAATTAGCCCAAGGCATGAGATAAAAGAAAAGAGTGACGCCTACTTTTAAAGTTGGGATATGTGTCTGTCCATTAATTGGTTCAGAGGGAACGTGCTTCTTGTTTTCTTTCTCCACCTTTTCCTTCTCAGAATAATGTGATATTGGTGATGAAGCATCAGATAGGTATATTGCCCCAACTTTTGAGGCTGGAACACCGTCAAGAACTGGGGGTTCTGGTTTAGAACCTGCCTTCTTTTTCCTCTCAAACTTCACAGGAGGAGGGGCACCTACAATCAGAAACATATTTACTCATCTCGGGTGTGAAAGATCTTCGTCAATCAACAATGATCAATCATCAACTCGGGTAAAATATGTTTTATTTCTTGTTATACGTGACATGATCACATACCATTTTAGAATAAAATAGTAACAGATGTGACATGATTACAACATATTTGCAGTACCTTATTATTAAACAGTGAAAAATGTTTTTAGAGATTTAAAATTAAATTTATTTCTATTTATCTAGAATAAAAACATATTTAAACCTTTAATATAATCACGGTCCAACAAGTTAACAGAAAAGCCATGTTATAGCGATCATATTTTGTTATATTAGCCACCATTTGAAGTATACATGCTTAAAGGCACCGTTATTTATATAGGCTTGTGGCACGGGCAGCAACTTCATATGTGTGAACTCAGTAATCCTTTTACAAATGTCACACAGTCACAGATACTATATGAATGCATAGAATGTTTTGTCAAAGAAAACTAATTAAAAAGTCAAACAAAATGGCTAGGAACAGTTGTATAATATCGAAAGATACCTAACCTTATTCTCATTCAGTTAACCCAGCCCATTTTTAAACAAAATTAATTAATTCTAGTTATATCTCACGCCGCTTTGCATGACATAATTTAAATGACAGGACTGAGATTCAATACAACAGAGGAATTAGAAAATTCTCAGGTCCACTCAGATGACTCATAAATTCTTCAAAAACCACCTAGTTTACAGGCGATTCTTTTTTTGTGAACATAAATTAGATCATTAAAGAGCAGATAAAGAGAGAAATAGTACCTGAATCCGACAATCTTTTGTAACAATTGTCATCACACTGGTGGTAAGGATTAGATGCTTTAGGACAACCTGAATACGTTCGTTTTTGGTCATTCATCTTTTTGCCAAGCTGACCATCAGTCACACTTCGGCCATAACCTAAGGGGGGTTTATTTACAAGTTTTGAGATATTAGCATCCATGCAAAACAGAATTTGAATATTTTACTGATGCAGAACAGTGTGTGAATGGTTCAAGATCAATCATGAACAAAACTTATTAGATACACTTTTATATGTGTTGTTGGTATTAATCTCCGGTCAGAATTGAAATTTTATCTCAATAATCTATGTTGATCCTAAATGCAAGCCTTTACTATGTGAACTACAGGTCTGAAACTCTAAAACTACCAAATTTGTCTAATTTGTCTCTAATACTTATTATACAATATCAACAAGGATGGACAAGAAAAACTATGTTGATAATCAAACATTTTTTTGTGAATATTACTAAGATGAAACTTTCATTCGGATCGAAAACCAATTCCAGAAAAGCTAAGGAACTATATCTAAATTTTTTCATTACTTAATATGAAGGATGGAGAAGAAAAATAACTAACCTGAACTCTTCTTTTTATTTGTGTGTTTGGTGTTGGTGCTTTGGGAGCAAGCTTGGGTGCATTGATGGTAAGGATTAGAAAGATTTACACAGTTGGGAGCCATCTGATTCTGTTCTTACAAAAAATGAAAAATGGAAAAAAATAATTAGAAGTCATTTGACAAATGCCATTTCCCAATAAATAGTGTTTCTAGTTGTGTGGCTGAGTTGAACCGTGACTTACTGTTTGCGAACAAGAGGGTGAGGCAAGGATGAAGTAATAAAGCAATTCCAAGTTTCTAACGCAACAGCGATGGATAGCAATGAATGAGAAATGAGAAATTTGGAAAACGAAGGAAACGTCTATTTATTGATTATATTACCATTGGCCTAATGCAATCTTCTGGACTCTCTTTGTTTGACCAAATTAAATTCCAAATCTTGATTTGATTTTTGAATCAACCTTTTGAATATTTTCAAAAAATATATACATATATTGTGTCAAAGTCTTGTCTTCTAGACACTCGCGCGCCAACAACGACCATTTTTTAAGGTTGTATCATTAAGGCGTGAAACGTGATAAAAACAGATCTGCTGTATAATTTAATAGGAGAGAATTCTGATATCATATTTTAACACACATGGGGAAACTTACAATACTTCAATAAATCTTATGAAGATTTTCCTAACTGTGAAGGATTTATTTAAGTGGTTTTCAATCATGAAATTATAAAATTGAAAATGTTTCTAATGTAAAAGATTATAAATAGGGACAAAGTATTAAAAATGATGAAAAAATAAGTTATTGCACCAACACTCTGTAGTAATTTGCAATTATAAATATGTCAAGTTAATACATTTTTTTTAGGGTGTTAATACATTGTTATTTCATACAAAATATTTTTTTTTCTTTCATTTTCTTTCGAGAAGAGATATTTTTGTGTGACTTACCTTTCTTTCCTCTCCTAAATCAAATAGAAGAATATTTACTTTTATTTACATTTTCTTTCCTCCACTTATTTCTACATTGATAATTTGACTTGAATAATGTTATCTCACCTGTAATAAAAGATAATACATTAAAATTATCAAAACTTTAATTGTTAATTTTCTAAGTCAACTATTATAATTTAGTGTTTTATATTTTTTTTTCTTTTCAACTATATTATTTTAAAAAAATCCCAACTTTTAAATTGCTTTGAGGATTTTCAAACTTTAAAAAGTATTGAAAAAGAAACAAATAAACATATAAATAATTATTAAGTAAATCTCTTGCAAAAGTTCGTCGTATATATATATATAT